ATAAAAAAAGAATAAAAATGACAAAAACACATTTGAATAAAACAATTAATCAAATAATTTTAATAAAATTAACATCATAAAACTTCAAAATTAAACCGAAAACAGAAAATATAAATAAAAAAATCTAATTGAAATTAAAACAAAAAAATTGACAAAAACTATAGTAGCCTATCAACTATACTAAAATAACACTGTTTTGAAAGCTGTTGTGCTGCTTCATATTTTTGTGGAAATATTTAGTGATACATTTTATTTTTCAGGATTCATAGATGAATCGAAAGCTCAATAGAATCTTTTATAACATTATAAATGTCTTTATTGCCACTTTTGATCAATTTAATGCATCCTTGATGAATAAAAGTATCCATTCCTTTTTAAAAAAAAAATAAAATTTTTGTGATCCCAAACTTTTGAACAGTAATTTAAAATATACATATCAGTATTTTATAATCCATCTGCCATTGACAGACACACACAATGCATCTACTGATAGTGTCTCACATTATAATGAAGCAAAAGCTGTACATTTTTTGTTGGATGAATGACTGAAGGTTGAGTTTATTACTGTCAGATTAAATCTGTAAAATGAAGCGGCGGTTTAGTTTGGCGATGTGTTTATAGTTTAATCTTTCACAGAAGCTACAGCAGATTTCTCCATGTTTGACTCTCTCAGCGTCTCTTTCTCTCAGTTCAGTCTGCTGTCGTTCTTCATCAGCACACTGTTTCCTCTTGCTTGATCCGTCAGTGACCTTCAGCTTCGGCACTCGGAGCAGCGGCGCGTGTTTGAAATGTGAGATCCGATCAGACGCAAGGAGAGATGATTTAGATATGAACAGCTCCGTCAGCTGACATTTCTACAGAAACACTGACTCCAGATCAGTGTGAAAGACTCGCCCTTCAGAGATTCACTGTATGATTCACATCTAATAGGATGTGGCAGAAACGTTGGGTCTGAAAATACAAATGCAGTTGCAATATGTGCATGTTTGGGATTCCCAAATTTTTTTTGTCAGCCGAACCTCTTTGAGCTAAAATATTTTCTTGAAGTTAATATTTCAAGTATTTATCAACACATTCACATGTTCACGGTTCTCTGATCATGTGGCATGCAGGTAAACAAATCAAATATTTAATATTTTTTAGTAATTATTTTATTTTTATTTTTTAATTATTTTCATTTTAATTTATTTCAAATAAAATATTTTGTCTTTTTTAGTAAGTGTTTTATTATTATTTTAAAATAATTAAAGTAATTATTTAAAAATAACGTATTTCATTTTATTAATGTTTTTCATATTTTCATATTTCATATTTTTAGTTTATTTTTATTTGAAAATTATTGAATCTTTTAAATAAAATATTTTTTTTATAGTTTTTTTTTTTGTTTTGTTTAAATATTGTTCACATTTTTAATAATATTTTATATATTAGTAAGTGTTTTATTTTTATTTTTTATTTTAAAAATATTTGTTTTAATTTATTTCAATTAAAATATTTCATCGTTTTATTTTTTTTAATTTAAAATAATTTATTTGAATGTTATTTCAGAAATATTTAATATTATTCACATTTTGCATATTGCTTTCATATTCCTCTTAATATTTCATAATTAATTCATCTTAATCAACACTCATTTGGGAAACCCTGGTATATGCAATAGAGTTTTTCTCGTGCTTATATAGATTATAAGTCAATATAATTTGATAAGAACGCACTAAACCCCTCGTGTAGCGTCTAGGCGGTTCTTCATTGCATCAAACACACGATCTGACCGCGTCAGGGTTTGATGAGTGTGTGTTTGTGAACCGTATCTGCGTCGTGAGATGCTTTCAGCGGTGATGTGACATGTCAGGAGAGGAGCTGTAGGTCACAGATGTGTGTGTGTGTGTGTTCAGGAGGAGATGGCGGAGCTGAAGGCTCAGCTGTATCTGCTGGAGAAGGAGAAGAAAGCTCTGGAGCTGAAGCTGAGCACGCGGGAGGCTCAGGAACAGGCCTATCTGGTGCACATCGAGCATCTGAAGTCTGAGGTGGAGGAACATCAGGAACAGAGACGGCGATCGCTCAACTCCACCGGCAGCAGCGCTGGAGCCAAAGACAAGAGCGGGAAGGTACAGTCCATACAATACAACATACAGCAACATACTGCCAGGTGTCTGTTCACATATCCATATGCACATCTGTGGATATATCATTAAAAACCTAAATGGAAACACCAAGATGCAAATACAGTTTCACACTTTTTTAGTGGAAAATTTGAGGAAATATTGGTTAAAATCATTTGTGCACATCTCGTTTGCTGGCGTTTAACATTTTTGCACAGATTACCATACAAAAATTACGAAATATTATGAACTATTAAATATTATTACAATTTAAAATAACTGTTTTCTGTTTGATTATATTTTAAAACGTTATTTATTCCCATGATGCAAAACAGTGTTATTTTAGTATCATTGAGATACTGTTATAGTTTTTGTTCGTATCTTGAATTAGATTTTAT